AGCTTAGCACCTTTTCACCGGAATTGAAGGAGATTGCCTCGGAAACAGCGTCAGCATGAATGTTCCAGTACAGCCAATCGACAGCTGGTCAGCAGGAATCCGCCGTCGTCATCGGATGGAACTGAGCTTCGAATCTCTTCACCCAACACTTCCACTCGAGATGGAAGTAATCTCGACAATTGTGAAACAAGAGATTCCTCTAAATCCAACTTTTCTTTGCATATAACTTACAAACTTAAAGCCACCCAAAGTCTGTCCCACAGAATAAGATAGTCAATTTGCTGTTATGCGAATATCGCCTGTAGCCGACTTCAAGGGTTTTGCGGTTCAGTTTCATCAGCGTTGCATTGGCCTCATGAAAAAGTGGCGCTAAACCCGTCTTTCGACGAGTCCTGCATGACCGACAGGCCAGGCTGTCGAACCCGTGCAGACATTTTGATACCATTTTATGCAGCTCAGCACTCGTCTTGCTCCGGACCGTCTGACGGACGGACATTTGCACTCTACCCCATTTTGCATGGTTGCAAACAAACGCACTGTTTTCTCTTTTATCAACTCAGTGATTCTCTGCTTCATGCGGGTCTATCGGCTCTACGCTGTACACCCGAAACTGGGTCCAAAGTTGGTGATGATCGGCAACATGATGACGGAACTGCTCGTGTTCATCTTCATCTTGGCGATGGTCCTCATCTCCTATGGCGTAGCGATGCAGTCGAATCTGTACCCGAACCGGTCTAATTTCAGCTGGCCAGCCGTTCGTGACGCATTGTACTACCCTTACTTCAATCTCTATGGCGAATTGGACATCTCTGTTTCTATGGGTAAGAGCTGGCATACCCACATCGGGCACATGCAAAGCAATGAAACATTTTTAAGAACATTTATTGGCATTTACTGTATTGCCTATTGGTTTGTCTGGGAGGCATTTATACTGTCATTTGAGGGCTGAAACTTTTACATGAACGATAGTGCTTACACTAGAATTTCACGAAGTTATAATCAGTAAATTACCAGCTTCTCATTGGCATGATGCTTGGTAAAGAGACTTAGGAAATGCAAACGAACTCGTTAGTTTAAAACATTGAAGAGATGTTAAAAAGAATGTCAGAAACTACTCAAATATTGGTCTCGAATATATGTCTGCAAAGGCATCGTTTGCTTTAATAAGTTCAAATGCTGATTGTCCAGTGATTTAATTTCAATGGGCCACTTTGAAACTATTATCATCAGTTTCATCTTTGCTGAAAAGAGATTTTTAAAAAAAGGAGGCTTGTGAAATGGAAACTGATATAAAAAATACTAATACGCCAGTAATGTAAAAATATATTCGAAGAAAAGCTGGGTTTCGAGGAATTTCTTGTTTCATAATTGTTGAGA